CTTCCTCCTTATGTTAAATCACATCAAGTTAAAAAGTTTTTACTCCTTTTTAATTAAAATTGCATTTATACCTATAAAATATTGTAATGGCCTACTTGCTTCTCACTATAGTTACATTCATATCCCTTTGTTTAATACCAAATCATCATCTTGTATTTATGCACCATACTGCTGCCTTAATGTAACGATTACATCATGTTTCAGCAAAAAACTGCTATTAAAATTGAAGATAACTATTCCTTAATTTCATCAAACTGAAAGCTATCTGTAAAAAATACTTTATTCTAAATAATATTGTGAAGATCCGGAGAGGTTAATTAGCTCTAATTAACCTGTTAACTTAATTATAATTCAAAGGGAAAAACCCAGATCTTCAACAGAAACTTCATGGCCACTCCTTGATTGATAAGATAACAAACCTATCCAATATCCCTCTGAATCAACAATCATTTTGATATTTGGACTTAGGTTATAAACTTAGTCAAAACATTTGATTATTAATGATGGGAAACTGTCAAATGGATGGAATTTTGAGGTAAGATGAGCCACGATAATGAATAGAAAATATCCGTAATTCTTCGAAACATCCGATTCTTGACAGCCCGTATCCATCGAACCAGACCCAACTCGAACTTAGAACACATTAAATCAAAGTCACTTGACTGTTTTCTCACGTGCAATGCGTATAAAAGGGGCTCAAATCCAGGCATCGGGTCAGACATCAACAGTAGACATAAGTCCTGCCACCATCAAAGCTGACATATTGGAAGAGCCGAACTGGAGCTCTTGCCTTGTCCACCCTTGCCCCAAGGACACTCTATGCCAAGCCTTAGATACATTATCTGAAGATAACTGATTATCTACATGAGGTATTCTGTAGTTAGGGTGTGACTATGCAGACGCAAATTTAGAGCGAGCGATAGGTTGCGAGCGATTTAGTTTTCACAAAGGAAAACCATGCACAAACAAGAAGCGAGAAATATAACTGGCGAGAGCGAATTTTTGGTTCTCGCACATATCTGACAGGTTTTGATATTTATTACGTCTCGCCTCTTCTCACCACATATTCTTGCTTGCTCGGAAAATTTGCTCGCTCGCGTCTGCATAGTCACACCCTTATTGTAAACTCTCTCTCTCTCTCTCTTGGTCGACTTAGAATTTATGTTTAAGAAACAGTTACCCTTGAGAACTCTCCATATAGCCTTGCAAAAACAGAACTTCTGTTAGTTATGTTATCCTTCAAAGGTAACTTGGTTACATTGTGTTCATAATCTCCGTCTTTGTTTATATCAAACTTTTGTTAAGTTGTTAACCAGTCATCTCATCATTATTTGGAGAACAGAACCCTATTGTCTTATCTCCTCCGTCACTCGGGAAAACATCATCCAGTGACCTCGTGAGCGGGTTTTACCAACTCAACGACTAGAGGGTCTAACCCTCAACTGTATTCTCACAATATCTATTGTTTTGTGTGTTCTTTTCTGTTTTTGTTATTGGTGTTTTTGTAGCGGGAGGTGACACTTATTATCTTTGAGACATTGCCAGATTTAACATACAGAAATAAAAATGCACTCTCCCCACTTTAACTTAGGAATTTAATTGGTTATTTGACTTGGTTAACTCAAAAAAATTTAAAGGAGGAATTTTTGGCTTGAGTACAGTATTTACCACTGTGTGCACATGTATATTCTAACTGTGAGATCAAATGATACTGATGAAGTGATTGTATGCTGATAAACATATCATTGGTGTTGTTTGATCTCAATTGGCCAATGACAGACACGTTGGCCAGATTGGGGAAGTGCTTGGTTCTGAAGTAGCCGATCTCATGCTGTATGATGATAAAATGGCCACAAATGGAAACAGTTTAACTGGCTACTTTTTCCAAAACTTGAAGTAATTAGTAAGTAGATAAGGGACAATAAACCAAAGGGGAGATGAAAAAGACATTCTGAAGCCACGTGGACAGTTTTATCCAAAGATAAAATGAAAAATGACACAGAATTTGATACAAAAAATATTGTACTGTACTGTACTGTACATGAAAGGAAACAAGTTTGTGGGCATATTGACTATTGCAGCATTTCTCGATATTTTTAAGTCCAAGGATTGGTAAAATTGTAAGGTTTGCCGACTGTGTGTGATTGTCAGGATGATCGAGGGGTCAAGGCAATTGTGTGTGGGTATGTAATACACATAGACAGATTTACCATTCACTTTTTCCCATTTAATAAAATATAAAAATATTCCTACAAAATTTTCTATATTCTTGTCGTTAAAATTCTCCTTTGCTATTTCTTAAGAAGAGAGTCCAGATGTTACATTGAATGTCTACACTTGGTCCCTCGTTGATGGTCTTCTGCAGGATTGATGACCCTGGGGCTCATTGTTAAGCTAGGATATAACAGATCTTGGAGAGAGAGAGAGAGATTGCTTGGAGAACGAATGAATCTGGGAGGTAGAATAACGGAACTTGGAGAATGAACAATGGATCTTGGAGGAAGAACAAATTTTTGAGGGTGATCAGCTCTTGGAAAAAAAGAACAAATATTGGAGCAAAGAATGTCTTGTCCTCGAAATATGAATTTTTAAAGGGTTTCTCTCCTCTATTCCATGTCTAATTGGTCTTCCCTCATCTCCCGGTGACTGTTCGAAACTTTTCAGGGCACGGGAGAGGTTGTTATCGACACTTAACCCAATCCCAATTGTCTAAAATTCCTCTGAACTTTGAAATTCTCTCTTGTCATTCCAGTGTTTTGTTTTCCTTTTTGACAGAAAGAACTTTTATTGTTTTCATGAGACTTGAAGCTTCACTTTGTTTTAATTTCGAAAGGTGAGAGTTTTGCTGTCCCACTGGATATTCATCATAAACTTAAAATTTTAATTTTCGGTGTGGGACCACACAATATGTCCAGAAAAATTCTATGGATCACTAAGTTATGTAGGCCTAATTTTTTAAACCTACTGTACGTGGATATTACCAACATTTGGGACATGATTTTAGATTTATTATGTTATAAATGGCACAGTATGTTTTGAATACATAAGAAAACATAATTAATTAATTAAATTGGAAGTAAACTATTAAAAGTGAGTCATCATCTCTATTAATTTAAGTCTGCCTACAGACCATCTGTCCCATCACTGTGGCTCACAGGTCGAGAGACATTGTCATTGTCAATGGCAGAATTCAATTGTTCAATGACAATGGGAACCACCTGGTTTCTGAAAGAGACTATAGCTATAAACTTGACAGAAATTTGACCTTAAACATTTCAAATTAACCTGATTCCACTATATATATATATAAGTACTATACACGCTGTGTCTAATTTTAAATGTATGTTGTATTCTTTAATATTTTATTAAACAACTGTTGTTTAAATGTTAATCTAAGGGTACGTTTGTAAAGTCGAACAAGTTAAACGAGAATGACGTCATCGTTATTCTTATTTAGTTAGACTTTTCGAACGATTCGTTTATAACTAAATGGATGTTTATAAAATCGAAGATACAAACGTTGTTAGTGCAGCCTTATCCAAAATATTTTTCTTACATTGCTTCGGGTGGACAGTTATTTCAATCATTTCACCTTTTAATTCACAATTTAAACACTCGAGCAAATTTAGAAACATCGATATCGTCGGGCGCCATTTTCTTAACGAAGTAAACTAACTCTTTCCTTTGTGAACTTCGTTAGAGTTTCATTTGAAACGTCACTACCACAGAGCACGCGCACTGGGCGAGACTACTACTATTCGAACGATTCGTTACTAACGCATTTAACTCGTTTGACTTTACGAACGTACCCTAAATTATAATTATTTAGTAAATAAATAAATGTATATTGTCACATAGCAAGTAGTGATAGATGATTTTTAGCAGTAAACAGTTTATTACACTTATCAACAAAAATATATTAGGACAATTTAAAACAAATGCATATATACAAAATAAATAGTCCATAAAATTCCAATGTTTTCAGAACAAAATACTTGAAAGTTGGCATTACACAACCTGATTGGTTGAGTGCATTTCCATACAAAGCATGTTTAGTGGCATTATATTTATAAATGGTTTAATAAAATATTTAAAAAAAGATATCCTCATGTGATAAACTGATTTCACACTGATAGTAGCACTTTCACTCACAACAGACCTTATGTTCCTTTTTACCATTCACAAGTTCTACAAGCTCTAGAAAAAGCTTAAATTCTCTTAACTTTGACAAGTCTGTCATCAGCTGCTTATAAATATATCACAAAAATATGCAAATATACCAAACTCTAGTTTGGTATATTTGCATATTTGGTCATTGGAAGATTGCAAATATTTTACCAAACTAAATTAAATTTAGTTTGGTAAAATAAACATTTATAAAGAATGGTTCCATATTTATTGTCCTGAAACTGAAATTTAAATTTAATTAAATAACACTCAAAATATGTAAATAGAAATTGCTCTGTATTCAATTTCTCTTCTTTTCAAAGAAAATAAAATACTTTTTTGTAATATGAATTCTTCTTGACATTGGTTTTAACTTTTTTTTGAAAAATATATTGTCGTCACAAATAAAATTACTTCTTTTAATTTGATCTACCAAAAAGTTTTGATAGGATTTATGACTAGATATTGGCCTATCTTTAAGATTTTTGAAAAGCTGACTAAATATTATATATCTCCATCAGTAATGTTATCCTGTAAACCTTATCTCAGTTTTTGGACTTAATTGATCCATTGACAATATATAATTTTCCAGATCCTAGAGATCACTGCCAAATCATTAATATAGATTTTCATGATCACTTTCATTGATGTAAGTTTTTCTTATTTAAATAGAACTATTGACTGAATTTTAAAAAATATTGTGTATAAATCCCTAGGAATGGATATTATATTTATTATCCCATGTAATAGAAATGGTCTGTTTTAAAATAGAATTTTTATAGGTTCTGGAATGGGTAAAATAATAGTGTTAAACATCATTCTTTGTAACTTAGGTGTCGTGACGTAGTGGACTCTTATCCTCGGTATACGGTAGAATTTTCTGGAGTTGGGAATCCGCCGGAAGAATCGAAACATCTCGGTTACTGTACGCAAATTGCAATATTTAGAAGATCTGGCCAACAGAATGTTGTGGAATATCCAGTGACAGATTTCGAACCATATACTTTGGTGGGTTTTCCTCTTTTATATATTTGGATTTCTATAATGTAATCAAAAACTATAACAATAATTTACTTTAATAGATAAAAGAATTTGAGTATCCAGGAAAAAATGAAGTTAAAAAGGAGGACTAGTCAATTTTAAGCATGATGTCTTTTTTATAATTTTACTTCATAAAAGAAACTGCTAAAATAAGTTTTTATTTTACATATTTTATACACTTTTCTCACTACTACTATTTTTCTGCGAGTAATTCTTTTTGTTTACTTATCATTATTTTCTCTCCTTCTTCCACAGTATTTTGTATCATTAATTTAATCTGAAAATTTAAAATACAAAATTAAAATTACTTCTCAAAATTTAACTCTATGGAAAAAATAAATTAAAAGATCATAAAAGTCATTTATTGTCAATCAGAAGTTTTCCTGTAAAATTCCTTGGACAATCAACCTCAGAAATTAGTTTTGATCATTACCTTTGATTTAAGGAATTATAAGAATCATTTCTTGAATATGTCAATTGTCTGTTTCATTGACTTTAACTATCCAGTTCTGATTAATTCTATAACTTTTATGAAATTTTTTAAACTTAAGATTGCAGAAATGATAATATTATGATTTGAAATATTCATTATATATATAATAACTGGTTTGTTTTCTTATAGATCCGTAAGTATGAAACCCTGGCCAAAAAGCAGAAACTTAATGAATGTAATACATATTTTAAAAAGCATAACATTGAAGTATGATTGCTTTCACAATGTATAATAATCTTACATAAGAATGTTCCACATAAAACTGGCAGTTTTAGTTTGAAATGTAATTTGTAATTATGTATATAAAGTCCTCCACACTGAATCCTTATTGGATGCGAGAGTCCCCGATTCGAGCTGCTTCCTTACTGGTACGGCTGAGGTAAGTTCCCAGAACGACTAAAGCTTAGTTTGCACCGCGCGAATAACCCGTCAAATGAGTCACGTTTGATGGGTTATTCGCTCTCTTTTTTGCTAGCGAATTGCGCTCGGTGTGAACGAAGCCTAAGAAGAGTCGCTGATTGGGTTGTCTTCTTGATTAATCAAAATCTCTTGTCTTTGTTATTCCCTTTTTATATGTCATCTATCTAGTGGTCATGGTCAGGGATTCATTGAATCAAAGATGCTAGCTACAGTGGCTGCTCTCTGCTTTATGGCCAAAATTTTTCCAGACCTTTAGTTCTTAAAATATTCCCAACAGAAGCAGTAATCATTTTTTAAATTATCAAGCAAAGAATGTTTATTACATCAACAAAATTTCTATTATACTATAAAAATAAATAGTTGTTTTGATGAAATAAAGTATCAATTGTTTTAGCTTCATTATTTATCACTAAGCCTTGTCTGCAGTATTTTGTCTTCCATAATATTGCAGCTTGAAAAATTAGGATATTCAGTGTCTTAGACCACCGAATGCCTTGATTTTTTCTACCTTGTGGGCACTAAAAAGGAACTTTTTAATCATATTAACCCATTATTTGGTCAGGCCCAAAATATTTGGTACTGACCAAATAAATAATGGGTTTGCTCACCTTTAAAAACTACTATGAATGTAAGTTTGTTCAAAAAGATAATTTAAATGTTGCCAGTGATAATGCCTTTTTCAAAAATATTTACTTAAATAAGTACTAATATTAAAATATTTAGTACTTTTACATTGGATCAACAGAAAAAGCGAGGTTGAGGCCGAAGTTTTAAGTGCGAAAACATGTACGTCGGACATTTGGTGCCACTTTCCCGTGAGCCTAGAAGTTTGACAATGGTGTTCGGAATGTCGAGCACGATTCCACTGACTATCCAAACACCATTGTCAAACTTCTAGGCTTATGGGAAAACAGCGCCGAATGTCCGACATACACGTTTTCGCGTTTAAAACTTCGGCCTCAACCTCGCTAATATTGCAATATCATTTTCTCCGGGTAAAAAATCTAGATCTCAGGATTCTGAGAAGGAAACTGTTGTCGAACGAGGCAGTTTTATGTATGTAATGTTAAATGTTATAAGTTTTATACTATGAAATTTTAAATTTCCATTTGAGAATATTATTGGAAAAAATATTTTTTGTATTGTATGTATGAGAGACCTTAATCAATTGGAATTGTCCTTATTGTAAAATATATGTGTATATTAAAATTGTTTCTGATTAAAATAGTGCAAATTTATTTGATAGTAACTAATCAGTCAATTAGTTACTGCATTCTACAGTTTCATTTTTGCAAATATAAACTAATTCTGAATTTAAATTATTAATTATATCACAAAAATTATTTCCAATGTAGCTTATTTTTTCTTAGAAATCATAATTTTATGGATTTTTTATTCAGTTGAAAACATTTAAGGTTTCATAGTCTCATTTTCAATTAATACAATGTTAAAAACTTGTTCAGATTGTGGCCACTGCCATCAGATTCAAAAGACTGTCTGGCAACACTTGTAAAAAAGTGCGCAACATTTGTCTTCTTGTCCGTCCATCATCGAAGAGAGTGGACGTACCGTACAATAAGCTCGCTCTGACCACGTATAATAAAGTTTTGTTTGTTATAGTTTGTGTAGTAGTGAAATTTGATTTGGATCTGAATGATAGAATGCCAAAAGATAAATTCTAAAACAAACCCTTCAGGATTGAAATAAAAAATAAATGTTTATCATTGTGTTTGTTCTGTTTATTTTAAGAACTCAATAGGAAAAAAGTTTTCTAGGAGAGGAAAGGAAATTTTTATTCCTAAAACAGATAACAAGATTTAAAAAGTAAAAATTCATGTAACATACTGGTTATTTGCATTATTTATCAATTTTTATGTCCAATTTACCATAATAAATGAAAACGATAAAAGAAAATATACAATTTATAACTTTTGATACAAACAGTAATGCTTTGCAAGAAAGAATAAATTCTATCTGATTGCTTCTGAAATATAAATGTGGCATGCCATTTGGCATATTTTTAATGAAAAATAAATGAGGGAAAACATATTTTGTTCTCCTAATTACTTAAATAATATATATTTATTTGAAGATATAAAATTTTCAAAGTATGCAATGATGACTGTATTCATTTCTTAAATATGAAAATCATCATGGACTTTTAGATTAAAATTTTTAATCATCAAGATATACTTTAAGCATTATGTCAAATGCATTTTAGTTAGCACTTAAATCCATAATTTTATTATTCTACAAATAACTTAATTAAAATTGTAATTTATTACCTGTTGTTGACAATTAAAGACAAGATCTTCAGAAAGGTCAGTTTGTTTTTTAGCTTCTTTAATGAATTTATTGTGGATTGCTTTCAATTCGTCTTTTGCTTGATTCAATAATACTTTAGCATTCTTTGCAAGATTTTCCCTGTGTTCTCTCGTTATCCTAAAATGTAAAAGATAGATAAAGCCTTAAAAAATATCCTGGATTAACGATATATAATAAAAGTTCCTTCAAACTTTGTTAAAAGAATTATTTTAATTTTCCAATATTCCTGGTTGTAATAACAAAATTTTAATTTCTTACTTGCTAGGGAGGAAAATTATTTCACAGATTTTTATTTTCACGAAATGAGGAGACTCCCGTCTCTCGTATACTGTGAAATTTTCAACAGTTAGTGAGATTTGAATATGAAATTTAGAGTACTTAATTAGAATAGAATGTAGTGGTATTTTCTTACTTTGTTGCTCATTTTACTGGTATCAAACCAAATCTTCAAGATGGTCAGCAAAACCTTCTGCTGACCATCTTGACTAGTAATAAATCAGATATAGATATACAAAGTACATGAGGAAGACTGTTTCCATTGATGTCAAATTGTTGGATAATATAAAATCCAAATTAAAATAAACAACTGTATTAGCCAGTACTTCAGATGAGTCAACTCTTTTGGAAGCTTAGAAAGGATAGTAAAATGTCAAAGTTAATGACATTTCAATGGTAATCTAACAAAATTAATTAACCAATCTTATTAATCTATATATATATATATATATAAATGGACATGTATGTCCCTATATTTCACTTTTTCGCAAAAACTACACATCGCACGTGAATGGTGTTTGTATGTGGTAGTAGCCCCAAGTCTCTATTCATGCATAGGGGTGGTTGTGTCTAGATAGCTATAAGGGTGCTGAAAGTGATTGAAAGTGGCTTTCTATTTCGAATCTTTTGTTCAAATTTAATTTGAACATAAAATTCGAATATTGGTTCGATTATAGAACGATTGTAAACATTCCAGAAATGTTGAAAATAGTTTGTTTGACCGGACGTGAACAGGAGACGTTCAGAAATAGAATCGGGACCAGATCTCTAATCAGAAACGGGGGACCTAATTCTTGCATTCTGTGAAAACAGGTAAGATTGGCTATAATGTAATTATCTTAATCTTCACTATCGTTACTTTTTGCCCACAAATAAAAACCCAGCGAAGCGGGTCCTTGCGGCTAGATTCTAGATTACTTAGAAAAACAGTCTTTTATATATAAAAACAACTATATTACATACAAATGTACGAACAAATAAAAACCCAGCAAAGCGGGTCCTTGCAGCTAGTATTAGTAATAAAAGACCAGCAAATCAACTAGAATTAGAGTATATTTAAATTCAATTCATGAAAATATAGTGAATTTAAATTGAAATTTGAATTAGATAAAAGACTTAGTCATTTAGAAGAAGTTTAAAAACCACAAATGGAAAGAGATATTATGGAATTTACTAATTATTAAGGAATTTCATGTAATAATCAGAATAAAATCATGTTATTTAATTAAAAGCCAAGATCAACCAAAAAAGGAAATACAGTAAAACTCAATTAAGAAGTTTTTCAAGGGACCAATTTAAAAAACTTTTAAGCAGAATTGAAAAAAAAGTATAGTTTTTCTTTGAATGATTCATATTTATTTAGATATTTGTCTAATATAAGCTGTTTCATGCATTTGTTATGTAAAAAAATACATTGTATGATTCTCACAAACAAAATCACAGATCTAAAAATACTGTACTAAAAATCAGCAATAAATTGCATAACTTTTCCAGCAAGGGTTAAAAATTGTGTGCAGCACCATCTGTTACGAGATTTTATATTATTAATTATTATAAAATGGCAAAAAGCTTAATTTTGAGGGTAGAGATAAGTTTCATAAAAAATTGTAAATGCTAATAATGAACAAAATATCCATCAAATCTATCCCCACTTGAGATATGACACATGACCTCCCACTATCTCCCCACCCCTTTGCCTTCAAAATTTAGTAACATCAATCTCCCTAATACACAGTCCTCAGTGCAAAATTTCAGAAATTTTCAACAAAAAGCACAGGAGTTATTAAGTTTCAACGTGGACGAACAAAATCAGCCACCCGTGCACCCCCTCCACACACACTAACGTCCATACATACAGAAAAACTTCAACTTTTTTTGCATTTCTTGATGTTTTAAGGTGTCCCGAGTCCAAAAATGTGAAAACCTTGGGGAGGTCGTTTTTTGACTGATTGCCATAAATATGCTGGAAAAGTAAAATCATTGGGGACTTACAGTATCACTTATGTATCGATAGCACTGTCAGAACTTGCTATTTGTTACAAGCATTGCTGCCATGCAACCATGTAAGCAAATTGTAAAATCCATGTTTAAAGTAAGTTTCATGCATAATTACATACAAAATTTTGTGCATTTCCTAATGTAATATTTTATTTTTCCATATGCAATTAAATATATAAAATTTCAATGGAATGCAGTTGAAAAACTTCTTAAGTGAATCCTTTAGTCATGAACAAGGATTTCTGTTTCCTAAGTGGAAAATTTTCTTAAACAGAGCATTTTATACAGGAAAAACTTACAAGAAAAAAAGAGGGACTTTTGAAATTAAACTTTTAATGTGGAACTTCTTAACCAAGTGCTACTGTAATAGTTTTAATAAAAGGCCAATTGAAAATGAAGGAAATAGTTAATAATGATATAATTGAAATATTCTGTTTAAGAAATACCAAAACAGATACAATGAGAACAACTTTTATTTTGGTTTTTCATAGAAACCAGTTTATCTTCTTGTTTATAAGAGGAGAAACTGGTAAGATATGAAAATCTCAGTAGATCTTACAAAAAGATCGTTACTTTCTTTATAATTTATATATTGATAACAGTAAGTGCAGAGAACTTTTTACAATTTTTCCTTAGATCAATCTTGATTATAAAGAGAAAATAAAAAATTCCTCTAAAGTCCTGAGAAGAATTTAAATCTTATTAATTGGAATTGTCAAGTATTGAGAAATAAAATGGCCTCAATTAACTTTCTCCAGACTTTCACTAAATTTGGAATAACAGAAACTTAAAAATATTTTTCAACTTTATACGCACGTAAAGACCAATATTTCTAGTTCAGCATAGAAAAATATAGGTGCTGGCTGCCAATTTGGGGTATGTGTCTTGTAATTGAGTCAGATTAAACAAACAATCATAATTTCAAAATATATACTAACCTAGTTAAAAATTCCAAATTAAATAATATTATTATTATCTATCAGAGTCTACTGTTATATTATCAGATATCTTAAAAGTCATACAACACTGGAATCATTTGTATACATTTAGACTAATAATTAGTGATATTTACTCAAGGATAGAACAAAATATGGATGATTAGTATTATGGTCTGAATCCATTGATTCAAAATGTTTATATATCTAAAGCCATAGAGATTGTAACAGACTTTTCTGACTCTCTATATCACTACAGTACATGTAATAAATGGTGAATAAGTTCAGATATCTACAGAATTTTCATGTGTAACAAAGAAAAATCTATAATAGTCTTTCAATCTGCTACCGAGTCTTCTTGACCTTTGTACAGAATTTAAAATTCTGGTCGTTCATTTCCATTACTTTCTTTCTTTTAATTTACTAAGGCTAAATTTTGGCTGTTTTTAGTAACTTCAATCACACAGGGATATATTAATTGATTTTGGAAATGCATTTTGGATTCTATTCACCCCTCTTCAGTCCTTTTTTTACAGATCTTATTAAAACAAATATCAGTATTAAAATTACTTCACACACACACCCATCAACTTCACAACTTGGAAAAAAAAATGCTTAATATTTTTAAAAAAGCTATTATTATTAATATAAACAATTTTAACAATATTTTAGACTACAATTAAAGAATACCCAGACTCAATATCAGAATAAAAACACAAAATACAGGAAGCATATAGACCATTAGAAAAATTTCTTAATAATAAATTAAATCAATATCACGATTCTGAATATCGTATTAAGAATACCAACCAATTCATTAAAAACCTTAAAACACTTAATATAAATGATAACAGCAAAATGTTGAGTCTGGATATTAAAAATATATATCTGTTTATATATAAAAAATTTATAATTGATAGCTTAAATAACTTACAATGTGATAATTGGGTAATTCAACTGGTTGGGTTTGTTTTATATAATAATTTTATTTGTAATGGAAAACTTTTTAGACAATTGGATGGTATACCTTCGTGGGCTCACATATAGGCCCCAAATTAGCTGAATTGTGTATGATAAAAAATTGATCAAATAATTAGAAAACTTCATGGGATAAGAGAATATAATAAGTACCTAGACGATTGTTTCATTGCTTATTATAATACTTTAACCAATACTCAGATAATACTTGACTATGCCAATAGTATAGAAAATAACAGTATTTTACCTTTTTTGGATGTCACGGTCCAAAGATTTCGTAGGACCTTAAGTTTCAAAAAATACATTAAATTTTGTGATGTATATAAAATTGTTAACTATTATTCCAGTACATCTATGTATGTTAAGAATATATTTAATATGTATATCTCAAAAATTAAAACACGTACAAGTAGTTATGTAATAACAAATATAGAACCAATTCCAGTGCATATAAACAAAAAATTATCTCTGCACAAATGATTTCTAATTCCCGAGTTCTTCAGGTATGACCAAAATATGTAGAGCTACATAGAGAAATTGAACACATTTATGGAATTTTTCAATTAAATGATTATCCAAATAAGGTAATAGAACAATGGCTAAACAACAGTAATACAGAAAAATACATTACATGTTCAAATGCCTATAAAAAATTAATTACATCCTCACAGTTTTTGAAACAGTTAAAAAGCTATTAAAAACCACACAATATTTTTCTCGCACCTGTATTTAATAATAAGATTAAAAATATATTGAAAACTAAAGAAATTAACCAAAAAACATATATGAAGCTACAAAGTGTGAGCCCGCGGATTTTTGCGGGTCTTTTAAAAATTTAAATTTTCTTGTTAATTAACTTCAGAAAAAAACCGAAGATTTTGTACTAGATCGGATTTCACCGATTGTATCACAACTTGCTGAGGAAGTTTACAGTTAGGTGTGAAAAATGCACCGTCATCTTCAACAAGAATCGATGACGTGTCAGCTCTCGCACGAAAAAGTATAAAAGCTCGAATCTCCGTAACCTCAGGGCGATTCGTCATAGGAAGTTGTACTTAGTAATAGTGTCACCGAAACTCCCGAGCCTCCATTCAGTGGACCCGATCCAGCTATAGAGAGAGGACCTCGAATAGAAGACACCACACCCTGAACGTTCGCCAATTCGCCCTGCCACCGACAGGTATTTTGGGGTATATAGGATTTGTAAGCGCTCTCTCTCGAACTCGAACTCGAATTTATGTAAATAGTAGAGATAACCGCTTTTAACCTCTTGTAGTGCTTAGTTGAGTATATAATAAATGCTTGTTTAGTTTTAAACCTGTTTCCTGTCATTTAAGGACGCCTATCAACTTGCTCACCTCCCTCCCCACTCGAACTGCCCTCCTAGCCATCCGACGACGCCGAGATCGGGTTTTATCAACCTGTTGCCGAGTAAGTGGTCAGTGGGAGATTGATCCCTGACCCGCGGTTGATCTCACAAAAGTAATGTTATATATAAAATTTCTTGCAGTTGCCAATCAAAATATCAATACATAGGTGAAACTGGAAGAGCATTAAAAATTAGAATTAGGAAACATTTATGCACAATAAAATATAATCACACCAACTCAGTAGCTGGTATACATTGTAACAGGTAAGTTTGAAAGGTCTCATAACATGATGTTAAAATTCTCAAGAAGGAAAAAAATATTATTAAAAGGGAACTGTATGAATGTTTAGAAATTATTAAAACAACAGAAGGTAAAATGAATTTAAATGAAGGTATAGCCATTAGTGAGATCTGGCAACCACTACTACATACAATTATTTTTACATTACTACATAATCAGTAGAGTCCTTCCAACCCCCTTCCCATATCCATTTATAATACACCGTGTTGCAATAATGCCAATTTTGTTGATTCTCACAAAGTGCTGTTTCATGTTTTTATGGTTGTTTAAAACCTTTTCATTTCAAACATTTTTTGAAAAAAGGTTTTTAAACCCAATTTTACATCAGTTATTCAGTTACTTTTTTAAATCTTATCAATTGTACTTTTATCCATATACAGGTATAGGCAATTTATGTTCTTTAAATTTTTTAAATATTTTATTTATCTAATGTATTTATTATACATTTTATAAAGTTTTTTTAATATATCCAGTTTAATTTCCCAGTTTTAACACTAATCTGTTAAATAATCGAATACTGTAAGTAAAAACTTTTGTAAATAATTTCAATTGTGTGTGTGAAGTAATTTAATACTGATATTTCTTTTAATAAGATCTGTAAAAACAGATTGAAGAGGGGTGAAGAGAATCTGAAATGCTTTTCCAAATACAATAATAAAGTATACATAATCAATTAATGTGTGACTGAAGTTAAAATTCTGAATCTTGATACATCAGATCATTTCCTAACTCTTAACTTGTTTATAGCAACTACAAATTTAAACCCCAAGAAATATGTGAAATCCCACTATATAATTAAATATAGATTCTAAAATTATGAAAATAATATATTAAGTTTTTTTTATTTTCCTGAGAAAATATCAGTAACTAATGGGTTAGAAATATATGAGTATTTAATAAAACAACTGAATTGTTTTATAATTATTGAATCACAGAATATAGTGGATGCAAATGACCAAATTATATAGCAATGGTTTTATTTAGCCTTTTAAAGTTAAAAAAAACCAAAAGTTTAAAAGTCTTTAGAAATAATCCTTCATTTAAATATTCTTAAAGAATATAAGAAGAATAAAAGAATATGTGATGTGATCTATAAAAAGATGCCTTAAGTTAGAAAAAATCATTTTTCATTTTTGGGCTGCAATTTGAAAAAATTGTACCAAGACCAGATATGGAAACATTAGGGACAGGAGGCCCCGATTAACTAGATAAGAACTTTCTATGCAAACCAGAAGTCATGTTATTTCAATTCAAAAATTTTCCCCTGAAAGGCGTTAGCTAGATGACCAACACGACTATATTGTTAAAGGAAAAGTATGATGTACAGGGGCAAGCCACTACTAATTTGAGGTGGAGAAGATATTTTTAATTTATTTAATTTAAAATATATGATTAAAAATTGCAGCCTGGCATTGTGACAATGTCACAATAAATAATTTCTTGTTTAGTTTATTTTAATATACCAACTAAGAATTATTGAAAACAACTTACAGAAATACCGGAAAGGATAATTCACACTCGAGAACCTTAGGAGTCCAGTAACAACACTAATGGAGAACTAACATTTTTGACTGTACCACAGTCTTCCTCAACTTTTTAACAAGTAAGATTCGAACATGGAATGCATAGAAAAACATGTTCAATAAATATTTTAAAAATGTATGGAACAAGCTAAGGACGTGTAGACAACTTTTAACCATATATGGCAATAGCAATCTTTTTCTATGCCATTATTTATATCCTATTATTCATTTTTTATGGTATACATATATTTATATTGCCATTGTAACATATATGGTTAAAAGTTGTCTATACATGCTTAGCTTGTTCCATATATTTTAAAAATAATTTCTAAACTTGTTTTATGCATTCCATATTCGAATCTTACTTGTTAAGAACCTGAGGAAACTGTGGTACAGTCAAAAACATTTTCCATTAAAGTGGTTGTTACTGGACTCCTAAGGTTCTCAAGTGTGTTAGAGTTATTGGTTATAAACACAGTTTATTGGTTTATATATTAGACTGTAATTACCTGTGAAAAAAATATTTATTGCAGTTTAGAAAAAACATATTTTATTATATAATGATGTTAATAAATACACTTATGTACTTTAATTAAAAAAAGAAAAAATAACAATAGTATATTACCATATTTTTAAGCTTATTGCATAAAAAATTGCTAGAATGAAAATAAAACCTTTACATAATCTTCTCCATTGTACTGTATAACCTAAACAGGTGCAAATTCATAACTGCAATTTAAAATCAGTATACAACTGACCAATTGCATAACTTGCACTTGCTGGGACAGACAGATGAACAAGTCAGCTAAGATAGCCTATTGTTGAACAATTGCTCAGGAATTTTTAATAGGTGGTCTGTTCCAGATATGTTGGGCTCCATTCCTCACCACCCAACTACCTCCATTATGAGCTTGACGAAACCTATGATTGACCAATTGCATGATTCCAAAAAGCCCCTCTTTCCATCCTGTAGGTACAGTATTACAGGATGGAAAGAGGGAGAAATCCCTTCAAACTGTCTTTTAAACATAGATAATCCACAGATTATAAGCACAAAAATACAGTAATTAATAAATTGAAAGAAAACATGAAATATAAAAAAAGTAGCAGCTTATAAATACATAACTATTAAATGAAAATTCATAAACAAATATATAAATATAAATTTATTTAATAGCTATAATAACCTTAATTAAAGCCAAATTATTGTGCTATATGATTAATTAATTACTAATTAATTTGACTACATGTAGGAAGTTAAGTTATTTCCAGTCAGTGCTGTAAGTAACTAGTATAGTTATATGTCTAAATTAATAGTTCTGGAAGTGAAGATTGGATGGAGGTCCAGGTAGTGTAACTGGCAACACAACCACACAATATGCAGGAGTTGCAGGCTAAAGTCCTGCTTTGGCCTGATTCTTTTCCTCCAGAGATTTTAAAATAATAATTACTAATTTATAAAAAATAATATGAGATGGTGGTTTAACCTCCTATCTCTAGTCAAACTGATTAGTAATTAATTAATCACATAGCCCAATAGTAGTAGTAGCCTGATAATTTTAGAAAGATCATTTGGCTTTAATTAAAATCAGATTATGAGTTGTTTATATATATAATCTTATTTGAGTAACTTTGATATATAAATTTAAAATTTTGTTACTTTGGTAAAGGGACAAAAATAACTGTTCCATCTTGCTGAGGACTAAGATTCATTCCTGACTCCTGAATAGCCTGAAGTGTAGGTTTTAATCCCTGAAAGAAAGTTCCATCTTAGAAAGTCAAAATGATAAAAAGATAGTATATGGAGTCGTCCATAAATTACATAAGGGCGATTTCGGCCATTCCAGACCCCCAGCCATCCATGTGTAAGAAATTGTAATATTTTCTTTGATCCCTTCTCCCTTCCCTATCTTACATAATATTTATGCATGATTTTATAAAAAGATTTTAACAAAAATGAATTTTTTTATGAAACCCTAAAAACCTTAGGTCCAAAATATATAATTATTAATTAGTTAGTTAATATGTACTATTATTTATAAAAGACTTTATGTGAACAATTTTTAAAAATTTAATGAATTTGAATGAACAATTTATTTTAAGAACTTTATTTTTTAATTAATAATAATAAAAAGATTGTTAATATCATTAATCAAATGTCATAATATTCATTTTTATATTAATTTTAATTTTCACAAAAGGACGCAAGAAACTGCCGGATCGACTAGCTAGTGCACGTGTAAACAGAAACATTATACAAAGTGAAGCAAGAAAGAATAGAGAGAAACCACATTCTGTTGCCGTATTGATTACATCTTGGCTAAGGCTAAGAAAATAAACTACATGCTGTTAAAATGTGCTAGGTGCACTGGGGACTAAATCATAAAGCTTGTAAAACTCTATATCAGGGGTGTCCAACCTTTTTGTTTCTCTGGGTCACATTAGAAGAAGTCAAGGAGTTTTGGGCCACAAGTATTTATAATATATACTTGTGGCCCAATATACAAGTATATTTAAGATTAACATGTCTAGATTATAATAATAAGTTTAAAACTTTATCACGAAAAAGGATATTTAAAAAAATTACTTCTACAGACACTTTCAATTTTTACTTAGAAATAGATAAAGAGACAAACGAAAATTTATATGAAAAACACAAATATTTGTTTTATTTGAGTCTCTAATTAATAAAAAGCAATGAAACACCATTTTAAAGTACATTTTTATTCAACTAATATATTTATAAATAATATATAGTCCAAAAAGTAGCCAAAGCGCTAAATGATATTTTTTACGTCAAATTGAAAAACAGAAGCCGCATTTGGCGCAATGTAGCCAAATCTTGCAATGCTGGAATACTAAATAAAGCTGGAGTTGTGACTCAAAAGGATTATAGAGCCAAATGCGGGGAAAGGAGAGAAAGGACAAAAGATAAAGTGAGAAAGGTTGGAAAATTAAGGGTCAATATTTACATAACAGAAGATCTATTTAACCTTTCTCACTACTTTTTATATCTTTTGTCTTTTCTCTCCTTTCCCCAAATTTGGGTCTATAATCCTTCCTCATTCACACATCTCCAAGTATTTGAAAATATTTCCTTTCCACTCAAAAATAAAATATGAATAAAGGTTTACGGCTTTGTGAAACTTCTTTTTTGAGTTTATGCCGTTGAAATAAATAAATAATAAAAAAAATTTTAACATTTGTCAGTTTTGTTTACACATTTATTGGGCCACATTGGAACTTGCGTTGGGCCGCGGGTTGGACACCTCTGCTCTATATAGTGGGGTAATACAACCAATGCTACCTTACGTGGCCTCTAGCTGGGGTCATGTAACTAGTAAAAATTCAGTAGCAAGTAAATTACTCTCTCTTCAAAGACAGTTTGTCATCAGAATTTCGAAGTGCTGCAGAACTGTTTTTACTAATGCCTCTCTGATACTAGCAGAGCTCCTTCGTTTGCCACTATGTATTGTAGAAAAGGTTCTAAACTACTACATCAGAACTATAAACATCAAGGCTCAACAACAGTCTCTACTCCTATCTATGGCTGTTCATATGCTACCACATTGCAATTACCTTGATCATCACCCTGTAAACAAGGTTATCGCCAGGATACATTTGGTGTCGTCTACTTCCTCCATGGATAACCATGCAGACATTAATGTCTACACAGATGGGTCCAAAAGCCCCCTTCTTGTTGGCTCAAGTATCTATATCTTCCTCCAAACTGACATATTTTGCCCAAAATATGTTAGAAGGTACAGATACTTCCCACATACTTCCATCTATCAAGTTGAAGAAGATGCTGTTTACCGAGCTGTTCAGTGGGCCACTTCACTACCAAACAAAACTCTGTCTATCAACATTTACAGTGTTTCTCGGTCTGTCCTAAAAGCTCTATTAAATTCCAATTGCAATAGCAATAAAATCACATATATCCAGAATAATATTAAAAATCTTATAAATAAGATAACTTTTATATTTGTTCATGGCTATACTGGCATACTAGGAAATGAAAAAGCTGACTTTGGGGCTAAGTCAGCTGCATAGGACACTGACTTAGACTACATTTACATCCCTCTCTCATGTAGCAGCCTTAAAAATTATATTCATGTCAACGCTATGCAAATGTGAGGGCCAGGATTTAAAAATGTTGAAATTCGAATATTTTTATTCATTTTCATCTACTGTTTTGTTTCAAAATCAAACCAATTTTTTTTAAAGTTAGGGTTAACTCAAAAAGAGAAAAACAACCGACAAATTTTCTCATAAAAATCTATCATAAAACTCCGTTCCCATGAAAATACTTCCCTGTAGAAGATGAGTTGACTGTTGTGTCATAATTTTGTCACTTCGTCCACCATTGGTCAAAGAAGATCATCACCTGTGACGTATAGGGGGAAATCTCAAGAAGAGATATGAACTTGGATTGGTGTGCGTTTCTTCTGGCATTATCACCTCCATACTGAACCCGAAGTCCTCGATGAGATCGCTCGGAATAATTTGTCCTCAATTAAATGCGTATCTATCCACTACAAAAATGATAGATTGGTGTCAGATCCTGATGGGAGAAAGAATCTAACAATCCTTTCCCTTAAACCCTTTTTACCATCAAAATTATTCTTTCAATCACTATATCAGTGTATTTCTATTAATAGGACTTATCATACTGGTGTATAAGATTACAGCCTCACAGTTACACAGATTAAAATTGTTTTATTTTCCAATTAAATTCCAATACAATTATTGTTTTGATTAAATTANTCTTTCAATCACTATATCAGTGTATTTCTATTAATAGGACTTATCATACTGGTGTATAAGATTACAGCCTCACAGTTACACAGATTAAAATTGTTTTATTTTCCAATTAAATTCCAATACAATTATTGTTTTGATTAAATTAAGGACATAGATGCATATTAATTAATGAAGCCTTTTTACCATCCTTTAGACAAGTGATACCGGACCTCAAGGTCTCGAGTCGATTAAGAGGTAGGAGAGTCAAGAACTCGTAACATCCTACCCCCGATTAGTCTCTCACAAAAGTGGAATCAGCAATGGTTGAGCAGTAAAACTGGTAGAATAACGAGATTTTATTTTCCTAGTGTCAAATGCAGGTTCTCATCACCACTTAGAGATTTAACGTTTGCTACTGCTCAACTACTTACTGAGCATGGTAATTTTAGAAGCTACCTGGCGATGTATAACTGGGCAGAAACTGCCTCTTTCTTTTGCTGTACAGAAAACCTAGACACCATCGACCATATGATCTATCATTGTCCAATTTACAATCAAGATAAACTTATTCTGAAATTAGAAAACTTTATGCTCAGTTTCGGGTGGCCACGTCCACTCGATAAGCTTGTTCAGAAGACACTGTTTGATGCTTTTTACAATTATGTTCAAAAAATATAAAAGAAAAGACTATTTATAATTTATAATTTCTAGTTTTACATTTTAGTTTTCAATAAAAGCCGAATACTAATTTTATGTTTACTTTGTATCATGTATTTTGGTTTATGTATTCTTAGTATTATACACCCATAGGAGTGGTGCACTTATTCTAATAAAAAAAAAAAGAGAGAGAAACCACCATACAACCTTTCTCCCATGATAAAAAATATGTAGAGCATGAGTCTGCTTGGCGTTATTATTCTATCATGTCACATGAGATGACGTTAGTACAGCGAGCGTTCCTAATAGAAACTGCCAAATTCAAAACTCCACCACTCAATGAGATCAAAAAATAAAAATATTACGTAAGACGAGATCTATTACCCCCCTACCTGAGTAAGAAATCCTTGACCCCACCCACCCCAAAATACCTTACGTAATTTATGGACGGCCCCTATGATAAATAATAAGATACAAACCTCTGGAAAACTTGTCAAATTAAGAACCACCAAATGCAATCCCTTACGAGAAATCTGAGCTATCTGATTTAATGGATATTCTTCATCATTTATTTTAACTATAATGTTTTCAATTGAACCTACACAGAAATATTTAATGTGAAATAAAATAAAATTTAATTTATTTTAATAATTTTAATCAAACGATCTAACCTGTTCCAGTATGAAGTGAAAGATGTTCTGTATACTGTTGTTTTAATTTGTTTATAACATTTTGTAATTGACTTTGAAGAAGAGTCACATCAATAACTTGCATCATTTCCTCTTCAGTAAGTTCAATTTTTGGCTTTAATTTTTTACCTAGAGAAAGAAATATTATTTATTATGAATATATAAACTTTGAAGTACCCTCACTTAGCATAAGTAAATCAAAAAACATAACACCTTAATTTGCTGAGAAAATTTAATGAAAATGCAAACATTTTCAGCCAAATCTGTTGGCCATCATTAGGCTAAGAGCATTCGTATATAAATAAAACAGAACAAAAATTTAAATACAAATAAAATAAAATAATGACTGAAATATATATATAAATGTATAAAGAAAAATAAAATAAAATAAAGATAAAAATTATTATTATAAATAACAAAATATGTATATGAAAAAATAAGCATAGGTTGATTAAATATTAAAACGTTATATAGAAATTCAATGAAATGTAAGTTATGCAAAAAAAAAAAAAAAAAAAAAAAAAAAAAAAAAAGGCATTAAATTAAGAGCTGTCCAATCGTTTGATTAAGTATTTCCAGGCCAAAGGCAACCCTTCAGAATCTCTAGAATTAATGCATGCATCATGCAATTTGCTCTTATATATTTCAATTTTTTTGGTGCAAATCGCCAATGTCAGTGAATGTACTGGTTTAATAATACTTGCTTCGTCCCATTTGACGATTGAGCCCTCAACTTGCGCCAATTGCGATAGTATTGTGGCATTAGATCCCTTGCTGATATTGTATTTATGTTCTTTTAATCTGACTCTTAAACTTCTATTACTGACACCAATATAATTTTTATTGATGTCTAGTTCACGATTTTCATAAGGAATCCTGTATACTCCAGCTCTTTTCTTTATCTATACTGTCTTTGTCATTCCTTAATAATTTGTACAGGTTAGGAGCTCTCTTGAAAATTAACTTGGACTTTTTGCAGGCTGAGATTTCCTTCATGATGGCTTTTCTCTTTTTATCATAAGTGAACTTTGTGATTTTGCTGAAATTGCAGTTTTGAGCTTTAGTTTTGTTTATTTTGTATTTTTTTATCAATGTTGTTATCATATCTGCCCTGTACCCTAGAGATCTGGCAATATGTAATATTCTATTAATTTCTTTTTGCCTATCCAACACACTACTGCAATAGAGAAAGGTCCTTTGGATAAGGGCACGGAAGGCAGCCATTTTGTACTGGTAAGGATCATTAGAGCGGGACAGAATGTACAGAGGGCTATGCATCAGTTTTACGTATACCTTAGTGGCCAAATGTCCTTCTTTGAATTCAATGTCAATATCCAAAAAATGTATCCATGAGGCACATTTCTGTTCAATCTTCAGCATGAGGCCATCATCATTGTTGTTGATCTTGTTAATAAAATCATCGATTTTTTCATCATTCTTCCAAACTACAAAGACATCATCAATGTATCTTTTAAAATACACAATGTCATTTAAGAAAACAGAACGAGCACTTTTTTCCAATCTTCTTAATACAAGCTCACACAACAGTCCTGACATAGGACTTCCCATAGGGACTCCTCTTTTTTGTCTATACTGATGGCCGTTAAAGGTGAAAAAAGATTCATAACAAATAAGGTTAGCTAGTTCTATTAAATCATTATTGTAACATGCCAAATCTAGGCTCTTGCTGTGCATGAAATCTAAAAGTGCTAACCTGCATGATTCAATTTTTATAGACGGGTATAAACTTTCATATTCCATCACAGTTCCAATTTCATCATCCATTAAAATTAGATCTTGTATCTCATTAATAACCTCCCTTGGATCCTGTGCTACAAGTACATTACTCTCGAGGTGCAAGGTGAGAAACTTACGTAATTTCTTTTCAAGAATAAACGTTGGTCCTCTGCACCTTTCCACTATAGGTCTCATTTCTTTACCCTCTTTATGGGTCTTGGCAAAAGCAAATAACCTCGGCACACTTGGCCTGGGATTATGACAATTTTTGAGGAAAGGTAATGCATTAGTGAGCTTAGCTTTTTCAAGTTTCTTAACCCTTCTGTCGACGCTGTCGATAATGTTTGTTTCAACACTCTCACATTCAGTTTTCTTAATATAATCCTCCAATGCGTTATTATATGTCTGCCTTTTCATGATTACCAAAGTTTTGATTTTGTCAGCTCTTGTTGTAACTAAATCATTTTTTCTAAGCCAACCTTTAGTAAGTTTGATGTATTTACCGGCATCACATCCTTTCTTCCAAGTCGTCTGGTCTTTTATGACTGTTTTCCATCGAGAGGTATTCTTTTTCTAAAGAATCTAGCCCAGATATTCCCCTTTCTATTTCTTGGATTGATGTTTCCCATGAGTTTGAATTTTCCGGGACAAAGTTCAGTCCCCATTTTAGAAAATCCTTGATTTTAGTCGGGACTTCTATTTGGTCCCACAAAATAAATGCTGAAGGATTGCTATTAACTGCTCTTGATGCTTGCTTTTTAAAAATCCACTTTATTTTATTAATGTATTTATTCCTTAAATTCATACAAACTTTATCTGTTAGCACAACTATGCCTCTGTTAATTTCTACAAACATTTTAGGATCTTCATTGCATATACTATCTTCTAATGTGATGAGCTCATGTAAGTTACCATATTTTGTATTCTTAGCAATTCTAATTGACTTACAAAGACACATTAGACAAAGCCTGGCTTTCAAAGAAGTACATTCTTTTGAGATGCTAATCCTATATATCGACATCGGAAATACTTTGCTTTTCAAACATTCTTTCAAAAATTCAAATTTGCAATCAGCCTTGACAAGTTTTAACGTTATCTTCCTATACTTCCTGTAATAATCCACTGGTGCCGCCATATTAAAATTGAAGTACCTTCACTCAGCATAATTAAATAAAAAAAAAAAAATACTTAATCAAACAATTGGACAGTTCTTAATTTAATGCCTTGATTTTAGTATTATCTTTTTTTTTTTTTTTGCATAACTTGCATTTCATTGAATTTCTATATAACGTTTTAATATTTAATCAACTTATGCTTATTTTTTCATATACAGGTATACCTCGCCTTACGTCGGTAATTGGTTCCAGGAGAACGACGTAAGTCGAATTTACTTATCTCCGAATCTACTTATCACTAGGCTAAACCGTAAATTACCATTCCCGGTTCTGTATTTTATTTATTAATGCATTTTTAATAATATATGGTTAATAAAAATCTATTTTAAGNAAAACGACGTAAGTCGAATTTACCTGTCTCCGAATCTACTTATCACTAGGAAAGCATTTTAAATAATATATGGTTAATAAAAATCTATTTTAAGCTTACAAACAAATAAATTTTAGTTTTTAATATAGTACAAAAAAAGTAATCTAAATTTACGAATGCGTGTACTGTAAATACAGTACATACTTGTATATATTTTAATATGATTTTATGTGCTTTAAACGTTTATCTAGTGATATTACGACTTCAATATTTGTGGCGGACAGACGTAAAGTCGAATAAAATGACTTAAACTTGATTTTTATTTTTCCATATACTTTTTTAACAAGAGACGTATAATCGGGAACGACGTAACTCGAAACGACGTAAGTCGAGGTATGCCTGTACATATTTTTTGTTATTTATAATAATAATTTTTATTTTATTTTATTTTTCTTTATACATTTATATATATATTTCAGTTGTTATTTTATTTGTATTTAAATTTTTGTTCTATTTTATTTATATTTGAATGCTCTTAGCCTGATGATGGCCAACAGATTTGGCTGAAAACGTTTGCATTTTCATTAAATTGTTAAATGTCTATATTTTGTATAACTTTTTTAGAAAATGCATGGAGTGACAGAACTAATAATTTTGATTAGTAAATTATTAATTCCACTGCAAGATGTATTACTTACTTTATTAAGTTAACAGTGAGTAGAAGTTTGAAGAAATACAAATGTTTTCAGCCCGATTAACATGCCGTCTTCAGACATAAAGAAGTGTATTCCTCCAACATTTTTCTATGCATTGGTGATAGCCTATAAATTTATAAACCAGGTTAAAAACATTTGCATTTCTCCAAGCTGTTACCTACTATTTTATGACATACTTTTTATTTTCTGTCTGTATTTTATAAACTTTTGTATTGATCTGATTGATAGTTTCTATTTAGATAATGGTGAGGATGAGGTCAAAGCTAGACCTTTTAAACCCTCAACTATCTGTGTCACATCGATAATTGACCTTCCCAACTTTCAAAGACATTTCAAACGACTGCCAAATCTCTCCTCTCGCACTAGGGATGATCCATTTACACCTTCATTTCTATGTACAAATAACCAACCAATTAACAAAAACCTCCAATTGTTACATGATAAAGAGTAACAAAAAGCAAAAAGATCACCGACAAGAGTAGACCGAACCAAACAAAACCCTCCTCTATTCCGTGCGATGTGAACGATGAGAAAACAGATCAAGGTGGCCATAAAAGGCAACAATCATTACTAAGGTGCAAGACTAACTCTGACCTTAGTCACCTATAGCAATTAATTCCGTTCATTTGACAACTGTTATCAAATTTATGAATGGAAGAAGTGACAATACTGGATAGAAGAGGTAATAAATCTACAGAAATGACTCAATTACTATAAACATCCTGGATGCTATTCAACCTTTGATGAGGTTGCATCAGATTTTTGTGTTAGTCAGCCCTCTGGGACTTGTATAAAAAGGCTGGAACACAATCCTCAGGACATCCACAGCTGATAGCATCGAGCAGACATCAGGGGACACCAGACCCATACCGCCATTCTGTTCGTCATAACCCTTGCCTTTCCGTCATAATCACCATCCGTCTCTCGATGAGCCAGATCCGAGGAGAAGGAAGACTATGATTAAGGTCAGCTGATCCGGGGACATCTCTTACCAGCTACCCATACTACGAGATCAGGAACTTAGAGGTATTATTAAGCCAATTTATTTATATACTCTCTCTCCAAGCAGTTCCTCTTACAGGAGTTTCTCTTGTCTCTCGATTTAACTTCAATAGAATGTAGATGTTCCATTGGGAAAACGAATGATTGTCACAAGCTAGAATAGAATTTCTGATTATTTCAATTTGTTTTGTTTTTGCTTTTGTCTTCTATATGTATAATTTTATAGTTGTTTATTAAATGTGTTATTTTTGATCAACCTGTGTACTTATTCAGAACCTGTCGATGTACTCACTGACCTCCCCACTCACATTTTAGCCCTCCTAAATTTGGAAAGTTCCGTGTCGCAATTGCCAAGTGCCACCGAATGTTGGTGTTCAGATATGTGGGCAGCCAGCATTCTGGTAGTCGCTCCTATATAATTGGTGCATAGTCCTGATATTGGATTCTGCAGGGGAACGGAGTATCCACCAGATTTTTCCAGGGTGGAAATAGCATCTCTATCATTACATAAGATTCGTCGCAGACATGGTCGTGGGGCAATAGGTAAACGAAAGCCATTCTGCCTAAAGATCTGGCAGATCCGGGCCGTGAAGTATCCACAGTATGGGAGTGAGGGACGGAGCGTTGGTCTGCGCAATGTGGTGGCAGGGAAGAGAGACTGTATAACTCTATTTTTAACATGGATGTATTTGGAGGCACTAAATCTCGCCGCGTACACCACTGTGCGGACAGCTTCCAGTTCGGTATTGATAAGATGTTGTGTCGATGGTAGTAAGAATGCCCGTCTGGTCAAGGGAGCTATGGCCACATTAACATATTGCTGTGGTTGACAGGCTGTGGCTGGTATTATGGGTGGGATATTGCCAAATTTGTAATAGACGGAAAACTTCAAGCCTTCCTGGGATTTTTGAATGTGCAAGTCCAAGAAAGCAATTTTTCTCCCAACTTACCATATTTACCAAGCTTTATTCTGCCAGTATTTTATTAGTATTTTATTTATAATTATTATATATGTAATAATTAACTGAAATATTTGGAAAAATTAATGTAAAAGAACATATTTGTGAATAATATTTTCCTCATTATAAAAGCTCATCAAGATTTTTCCACCATGGAAAAATCTGGTGTATACTCCGTTCCCCTGCAGAATCCAATATCAGGACTATGCACCAATTATATAGGAGCGACTACCAGAATGCTGGCTGCCCGCATATCTGAAGCCCTCCTAAAACCATTCTCTGACAGAGCCGCTGGTAAGTGGGGTTCCTCTGCCCTCTCTGTTATCACATAATTATTAAAAAAATATGAGAACATCTTATTCTTTATATATTTATTTATGAATCAAAGAAGCTCAATGGTTACTTGCACCCAAGACAAAACAGATTGTTGTTCCTGCTTCTGAAATGGTTTCCAATAGAGAGCACTTTTAGTGACAGCACTCTCATAGGAACTATTTATAAAGAACTTTATTTAAGAGACTTCACTATATTTGACTTATTTACTTTTATTTAATAATTTTTCCTTTTGAACATTTAACTGCTCATTTTGCGTCAATCACCTCATCCACCCACAAAACCAGCCCCATATTTACCAAGCTTTATTCTGCCAGTATTTTATTAGTATTTTATTTATAATTATTATATATGTAATAATTAACTGAAATATTTGGAAAAATTAATGTAAAAGAACATATTTGTGAATAATATTTTCCTCATTATAAAAGCTCATCAATTAAGTAGTTTTATATAAACAATAGTGGTAATTGTTTAGTTACACCCCATCACCTCGGATTTTTTTGACAAGAACCGATCGGTTCTTCTCGAAAAGTCTGTTGCAAATCCATTGTTTTTTTTTTTTTTTTTGTTTTTTGCAGTCGACTGTGGGCGAGGAGAAAAAGGCCTCCAAACTTTGTCACACATGCAGCAAATTGGCCAGCACAAGTATATAAGAGAAAAACAGAGAAGAAGAAAACAACGGGAAAGAAAGAAGAAAAAAAAGGACTTACCGGTTGAAATTTAGTTGTTTGATGATGATGACTATTCTCTCTCACTATTCTCATCTTTCTCACTAGTCGTCATCATCAAACAACTAAATTTCAACCGGTAAGTCCTTTTTTCTTCTTCTTTCCCATTGTTCTCTTCTCCTCCTTTTTTCTCTTACACATGTGCCGGTCAATTCGCTGCAATGTGTGCCAAGAGATAGCTGTTGCACGGGTTGGCATTATCTTCACAAATAACAAAATTTGGATGCCGTTTTCTCCCCATCCAAAGCGATGGAGTTTAACTAAACAATTAACACAATAGTAATATATTAGAGATCAATTGTCGTATAATTTACGAATTTCATTTTTTCATAGTAAAGAAATTATTACAATTAAGTACCGTATACAATATTACCTTTTTGTTCTTTCACTATAGCTTTTTTGGCGTAGCGTTTCTGAATAAAATACAGCTGTTTTTCGAGATGTGTCAAACATGCTTCATCAGTGAGAGAAGGAAGCAACAATCGCCCGTGTTTATAAACCGAGTTAGACGAAACCACGCTCCATCGCCAACTCAATAATCGTAATGTCGCAGGCACACATCTCAAAGCCATTATGGATGCTAACTTTTTAAATCAAACTTGAAATTAATTTACACGACATTCAGAATTACAGAACATACTAAACATTTCGTATTTAATTCCTAATTTACCCAATTCGTACTTAACTAAAGGAGGCCGCCATTTTTAATTGCCAGCGCCACCTAACGCCATTACAATTATTTAATTTAATTTATCAAAACTATTTTAAACCAGGGGTCGCCAAACTTTTTTAACCGTCGACCCCCAACCACTTTCCAAAACCTCACATTGACCAGTACCGTAAAGTTTTATTATAAGTGTAAGTGTATAAGCAAAAAAAAAAAAAAAAAAAGGTTGTGACCCCGTAGCCGCATCGACCCTCCAATAGTGTTGCATCGACCTCTGGGAGTCGGTATCGACCACTTTGGCGACCCCTGTTTTAAACTGAATTTCATGCACGTTAACAATTTGTTTTATATCGGGTTATCGTAATTACTATATTTCGATTTAACGCAAGCTAAATGGAACCAAATTTGGTATGGTGACATTTCCGTAAAAAGTATTTATTACTACAACTCACTAATGCAATTTTGGCCGAGCCCGTCTTTGGTATGTGCGAGGCCCTGAGCCAAGAAAAGCTTGAAGGCCCCTTAAGGAATTCGTAATGGAGGGTTAATGTTCATACATTTTTCAATTAGCTTTCTCCGCTAAACATATTGTTATATTTATGTTTAATCAAAAGATATGTTTGGTAAATTTTATTGTTTACTGTTTATAAAATTTTATTACTTGTTGCTCTATTCAATTTTGCATATTTTCGAGATCTCGAATGTTAGACCGCCCCTGGGTCCAGGCCCGGTAGGCCCACACCTAAAGACGGGCCTGATTTTGGCATTGCGAGCAACAAACATTTTATTTGTACTAAACATACAATGCTATAAGAAGATCATAACGGGGATCTTAACTACATTGTTAATGTGGTCTCCATTCCGAAGGCTATGAAAAGCGTGCTCAACAGCGGTCCGTAATTGATGTTATGTGAGGTTTCTCACATGCAATGTAACACCATCTTCAACGCTGTCCTATTTACAACATATCCTCGGTAAACCGTACTTTTTAAGTGTTCCTACAGCTAAAAATCATACGAATTAAATCCGAAGAACAGGGGGTCCGGGCAGTAGAAAACGCACGATTATTCACTGTTGTTGATGAAGTGTTTTCACAGGAAATGTTGTCTAATATGCGCAAATGCACGAAAGTAATTGAATTTTACTCCTTTATTCCAATTCTCTTTTAGGCTTTGTGCATAGGAGGCGATGCACGTGACACTGCACATGCATTGTAGGGTATTTGAAACGATCGATATATTTTAGTTGTCTCAAATATTCTGTTTTACTTAGAAATTTGTTGTAGATACAATTACATAACTGTAATCGCACCTACAACGTAATAAATGTAATAAATGAAGCAGACTAAAATTTTATATTTCGTTTTCCATTTAAACTAATATATTATTTTATCAAATTTATCTCTTATTCGTGTAAAGAACTGACGACTTAATCGACAGTTGGTTTTCAAATTCGCTGGAGAATAAAATAGATAAGAGAATTAGCCAAACTTACCAGCTTTCAAGGTACAAGTTCAACCTACACTTTAGCCAATAATAGTTTTATTGAGTTAAACCTTAGAGATATTGTAAGGGCACATGTCACGTGATAAAACGCATGTTTGTTCCACCCTTCGCCATATTTGTGGTCTAGCTTCCGCTTGCAGCGCTTTTTTCAATTTAAACTTAATAGAACTGCATCATGGACAAAGTTAAAAAAGATGTTTTTCTGGCGGGTTATTCTCGCAGTCTGACAGGACAAGATGCTGCTTTATATGAAGAAAAAGTTTCATTATGTCAAGTTATCGATCCAAACGAAGCCAACATCTTCGTTGTAGATCAGGAGTTGTGGCCTAAAGTAGAATTTGGTGACACAATAAACTACAGTAGAGCGTCGATTTTCCGAAAGTCAATCATCCGAAAGAATTTCAGTCGGCAAATTTAAATTTTCGCCAGTGCTGTTGCGCTTCAATCTTTGGCTGTCTTGGGCTACTCAAATATTTTACGTTTTTGATACTAAATTAACATAAGTGTAATTTTTTATTATTTTTATATTTTTCAATATATTTATTTTGTTTGTACAAAATAAAAAAATAATTTTTAACGATACAATAGTCTTTGTTAGGCTTAACATCGACGAAAATTCAACGCGAAGCGACACGCAACGGAAAAAATTTCGACATCGGATACGTTAAACTATTTTTTCGTACACAAATCAGTTATCCGGACAACCCCAGTCCCCAATTGATTCGGAAAATCGACGCTCTACTGTATTTGGTTTTGATGACAAATTACTACTATACTCTTTCACAAATAAAACCTTACAAATCTTTAGAGGCCCGTAACTATCTTACAAGTGGCTGTGTTTCTCCTGATTATGTGCTTTTTCATAACACTTCTGCTGCGCAGTTGGGTCGTGACCACTCATACCCCATGTAAAGTTACACAAAAGTATAAAAAAACAAACATTTTATCGTACATAATCACTGTATTTTGATTTAAACTTTGGCACACATTCATTCAGTGTTTATCCTCCTAATTTAAAATAAGTACGATAAGAATTTATCAGAAACAACTTGAAAGTTACTATGATTATTTGTTATTAATATAAAAAAATCATTGTAAAACCATGGCTATTTGTAAATGAACAATGGAAAGTATTGGTTTATATCTTTAAAAAATACACACACTTTTATTTATGTAAATTAGACTGGAAGGACAACTGATTCAAAATTCATTTCTAATTCATCTGATAGCGATTATCTTTGCTTAACACTAATATTAACGCTACTGTATATTTATTACAAGCAGAGACTAAGAAAACAAACTGAAAGGCAAAAAATAAAGTTAAAACAAATTATCTATTCAAATAAAATCTGCGGTTGTTAAAAATATTTAAACTTTATTTCGTCGGTATTAACAAAAGAATTCATGCAACCGGCTTGTACACACTTTATGATACTCATGCTAAGGTTTATCTAATCATAACATTTGATTACTAGTTATTTCTTACCCGAAATTAAATGCTTCCGACAAACTCTTGTATTGATATTCACTGTATTCGTATTGAAATTTTTCTGGTTAATTCTCAAAAGCTCCTGTTTGGGGTCTTTTATGACAAATAATGCCGGAAATCTTAAAAAAAATGACGTTCCTTTGTCCTTGAGTGAATTACTATTACACCTAATTACACAATAATTCACCATAGCAATATTCGCGACTAATAAACAACACAAGAACTCCAGCTAAAGCGCGCATAAACACAAATAAAACGTAAACAAACGACAAAGATGGCGCCCGGCAACTGTATATGCTCATGATATCGCTGGTGATGTCAATTTGAAACTTTTGTTTTCTAGTGGATACAATAGAAAGCCTCTAACAACATTGATTAAATTGACTGGTGTGAATTGATGCATAGATGAATAAAAAAGCACGTATTTTTGGGAAAAATCGCAATGGCAAATGCATCAATGGCATGCATTCTTCAATTTTCAATTGAAAATCTGATCCGTAACATAACCTGCATTCAAGCAATTTTTTTCCCAAAACATTTAAAAGTAATTGTTATGAAGTGTTTATAAATTCAATATCATCACTACACATTGTTTATTATTTAACATCAAGTACATTTTAAAAATTGACTTTATATATAAATTATAATCCAAATAAAAAAAATTTTTTTGTATTTAATGGTCAGATGGATGAATTGGTAAATGAATCAGCCTTAGGGACCTAGGATCAAATCAAGTGGTGAACCCCGGACCTTTTTGTGGACAGTATCTTGGATATTTTGAGCTGCGTTCAATCCCTCACCACCTTGCCAACAGTGGGGAGTAATTATGAGTTCATTTGGATCTCCACCACCATATTAATTGTCACTGAAATCATGATGAGCTGGGATAAAAGCCCTCTTCGTGTCCATAGTGCAGAGAGTTAAAAAAAAGTTTCTGATTTGAAAATCAACACAGAAAAATAGCTATCAGTAAATGCTGAGATGATAATTGGATTTGATTAAAATGTCAACAAATCTATGCTATGAATTGTTAATTTGTTGTAACAGATTAAACTTTCATATTTACTGTGTTACAAATTAAATATGAAAGTTTTAGTAATTTAAAATTATGAAAAAATCTCAATTACATACTGTTAACCAAATTTTAGTAAATTAAATTAATATAAAAAACAAAAAAAGTTATAATAGTTTGTAACATTTTAAATCATGACTTGTTTAGTAATGTTTTAAATGATCCATATATGAAGAACAGAAAATAAAGTATTTACAAAAGAATAAATTAGTGAACTTATATAAAAGGATTATGAATTACTTAAAAGCAACAATAGAAATAACCCATTTACTACATTTGTGGGTGAAAAAAATCATGTATCATCAAAATATTTCATAGATAATATAAACAACATATTAAAATAAAAATGTGATTTGTTTCATTCCTTGTTTATTGAAATATGAAACACTTACCTGTGATTTTTCTGTAGTTATATAAAATGATAAAATAAATAAAAATTTTAAAACAAATGAGAAATTTCAAAGTTACACAAAAGTATAAAAAAACAAACATTTATTTGTGACAGAACTATTCACTAAAATAAACTAGTAAATAAATTTTTTTTTACAAAATGTTAAAATACACATAAAACTGTACAATATGGTTACAGTTTTACAATAAACATTTAAAACAATACTAATTATATTAAGCATTTTAAAACTAACATAGTCTCTTAATATGTTGAAATATAATTAGGTTATCAAGAACAGCAATTTGAGGGGCATATTCTTTGACTTTTTCCATTGGAAAAATCTCACATAATTCATTTGTCAATATTACAGTTTTTTAAATAAATATTGATATATAGATGATTCATCTATTTTTTAAACCTTTTCCTTCTGGATATGGTCTGTTTCTAGATAATTTGTTGCTTTTAGATAATTTATTTCCTATAGATTTTGTTGCTGTTACTGCAAGACATCTCTCCAGTTCCATTTCTCTTTCATGTTCCATTGATCTTAGTTTAGCTTCAATAGCATTAATTTGGCTTTTAATACTAAAGAAAACAAAATTATAACCATCAATGTTATTCTATATTCTTATTAAAAATTTATGAAAAAAATTACCTTTTATTTGATCTTTCTTGTTGCAAATTCATTCCAGGAAGCACAAGTTGAGGTTTCTTTATAAAACAATCTTCCTAAACATAAAGAGAAATCAAAATTCATTAGTTTTTGTATAAAATTTAAATCTTTTATAGTATTTTATACAAAACCAGTTTAACTTTTATGAACATTTCACTATAGAAAAAACTACAGGCTAACTAGTTGTAATAATGAACTAGTATATGAATATTTTACTAAGAGATGGTTTAGAAAGCTATAACCTTTCAATGTTACTACTACATAAATATTCCAAATCTGTTGGGAGCTATTGTGTCAGGTTTGTTCAATTAGCACAGTAATAAACTAAAAGAAAGAAATGTTAATGGTTAGAATGTTACTCAATAGTTGCTATTTTTCCATCTTAAATAATATGATTATTTAATTTATACCAATAAGACTTTCCCCCCCCTCTGATTTGTATTGTTAAATTGTGCAAGTCATCATTAAATTCAACATTATGAATCTAAAAAATGTGATTACATAAAAAATAATTCAGATTTATCATCTACCTACTAAAAATTTAAATAAATTTAATTTGAATCACTAAACATAAAACAAATGTGTTGCTTAAATGACCACAAAAACCAAACTCGTCCTCTCAGCTCATACAACTTACATCAGTGTTTTATAAATTCATAAAAAGAATATATGACTAATGTAGAAAATCATACTAAAATGCGTTAATTAAGTACAAAGATTTTATAACTTATTTATACCTTAAATCAATCATTGTTTTGATAAATATATTTTCTATTTTTATTATTAAATAAAGAATTAAGAATTAAATTTTTTTTACTTCTCTCTAAAGATATGTTCATATTAATAATAAAGCATTTTTTTCAATTAAAAAAAAAAACAAGAACTGATGATAAATTCATGGATTTCCATATTACTGATGTATCTATATAAAACTCATTTTCTATGGGGGTGGAAATTATTAAATACTTGTCATTCTATCAATTTATAAAGATAATCATGATATGGCAATAATTCAAAAAATAAAGAATTTTTATTTGTTTGAGTTTATGTGTATGTAACACACAGAGGTGAACAAATTGTAACATTAAATCAAAGCTTTGAAGGTATAATTTTCATTAAAAGCAAAAATAATTAATTTAAAAACAAATCTAAAAATTCAAGTTCTGAATTCTTTTTGAATGTAAAATAATAAAACTATTATTAGATAAATGTTGCAAAATGAAGCTGATGGACATCTACATGTCTGTTTACAATTTTTAGTTTCTATTTTATTTCACAATGAAATGATGATTTAAGACATCAGACTCTTGTCTGTCATCTCTTCACTGTAAAATAAAACAGAAATTAATACAGAGTGATTATTGGTATAATTAAAGAATATTTATCATTCATTAGTAAAGATAGAATTTGATTAAAGAATTATTATTAGGAACTAATATGGCTTTTAAATTGTTGGCATTACTGCTGACAATGTAAATGCCACAATGTATATAAGACAAAACTAGAAGAAAAAAAAAATTATTAGATATAAGTCATTTTCATAAAAAATTATTTGGAAGAAATAATAAATATTACCACTCAGTGTATTAAAATACTAAGTTTATATTTATCAATATACATAAATTTTCATTCTTTGCTATCATATTGCTTCATCAATAAATTACCTACTCTTCTATACAAACTTAAAATTTTAAAATGTGAAAAATCTATTAAATATATATAACTCACAGCAGGAACTGAATTGGCCCATTTCACTGATAAACTTTTTGACAAAACAATCTTCCCATTTAAAGAAGCCAGTGCCTTTTCTGCTTCACTTCTAGTCTGATATGTAACAAAACAATACCCTCTTGGCTGTCCTTTCAAAGGACCAGATTTGTGAAAAAGAAAATCAAATTTCTTAACAGTACCAAATTTTTGTAATATTTTAATAAGATGATATCTGAAAAAGAAAAAAACATTATAAACAACTGGCAATTACCCAGTGAAATCTAAAAATACCCAGATATCTAAAAATAAAATTAACATAAAATAATAGCATTTCATTCAACAATTGATTATTTAGGGTGTCATATAAAACAGTCTTGAAATCTCTTTCTTATAATATTTATGAAAAACTATAAAAACTAAATTTGATGAGATACAAAAAAATCATGATTATTACAAACGTAAAGTTCAAAAAAATATTACTAAAAGTAAAAAAGTGAAATGAAATTATTTATACCACTGCATATAGTTTAAACTTCATTCTTGCATATGCATTTCAAAAAAAAAAAATATATATATATATAAAATGTATATATAAAATATACATAAAAATATAAATGTTTTTTTGAAATGCATATGCAAGAATAAAGTTTAAACTATATGCAGTGGTAAACTATATATATATATATATATTTATTTATATTTGTGTTTAAATGAAATACTGAAATATGAAATATCTGAACTCCATATATTGTAGAATTTAGGAATTTGGACACAAGATTTCCTTTATAGTATGCATATCCAAACCGAATAATTCGGTGTTATGAATTTCTTCGAGGTACATTTATGAAAACTTTGAAAGAATGTTGGTAAAAGTGAAATGTGTTTATGCTCTAACATGGTTGTGCATTTGATAATCCAAACTAATTAATGTTAAGAATTTGAATTCAGCACGAATTTGCAAATAATAAAATTCTGATTATTACATATAATAAATTTATATAAAATTAATACTGAAATATATATAAAATAATTTTTTTAAAACAAAAATTTGTAATTTTTCTTGTTTCTTTCCTTGCTTTCTTTAGCTTTTATTTTCAATCAAGATAAGAATCTCTTGAAATTTCGATTCAGTTTACTGGAAGGTTCAAATTATCATAAGTATATTCTACTTGTGAGTTGCATACATTCATAAAAAACTTAAGTTTTGTTAATTTGTTTGGTTAATTAAAACAACATTAACTATCTATTATTTTTTTTCAGAAAGAAAAAGTTCCATTTAGGAAGATAAATAAGATATGAATGTTTGCTTTTCATACTAAAATGGAGAAGACACCGAGGTCGGCATTACGTGTACGTTTTTATCGCAAGCAGTTTCGACGAACCTATAGTCGAAAATGTATATCATATCGATTGCTTTTCATTTGTGATGTCACAAAATCAATTGAATTTGCAGTTCCAGTAATAGTAAATCCAAGCAAAAAATTTGAAAATGTAATTTTTAGATTTGAAAAAATAAAAAATTTAAATAAAACAATATCTGTCAGGCTTACTCTGTTAATCTACTATCCAAATTTCCAATCCACAATCTTTTATCATCAGCTTCTTGAGGTGGACTTGGATCTAAAGGCAATGGAACACTTGGTATCTATTTAAAAAAAAAAAAAAGTTGCTTTCATTAATTCTACACATTATAAACAAAACACAGGTTTAATATGTTATTTTTGTTTAAAATAAAATTTGACTATTATTTCAAATTTAATAACTATTGAATCATAAAGAGAGAATCTAACCTTAAAAATTTAATTTGCTAAATAGCTTATAAGAGACATATATATTGTAAAGGATATCTATGTTAGGAATAAAAAAATTATCTTAAAATTCAAAAAACAGATTACATATCTTGCAATATAATTGAGATGAGTTAATAATAATCATCATCATAATAATAATAAAATAATAATAATCACTTACATTATAGACATAGCCATTCCAAACACTCACAATGTACAAAACACATGCACTGAAAAAATTAGCAAGTACACAGAACTTGCCCAGGAAATAAGGCATCTGTGGAGGATGGATAGGGTAGTTATTGTACCTGTTGTTCTCTCCTGTACAGGTGTGATACCACACACACTACACAAAAGCCTGGGAACATTACAATTGAGTAGAAATACATACATCACACTACAGAAGGCCACTATATTGAATACATGCCACATTGTTAGGAAATTCCTGAATACAGACACACACACTGACACACTTATTTAATTTTAGTTTTGTTTTGGTTGCTATGCCTTGACTTTGGTCCGACAAAGTACACAGCCACCGGTGTGAACCGAGTATAACTCACAAAACCCAATATATTAATAATAATAATAATAATAATAATTAATAAGCACATAGCCCAAACAGTTAGGAGTTGAAAGTTGAAACTTGGTACAGTGTTAGGATACATCATGAGAATGTACACTAAGAATAGATTTTTCAAAATTCCCATCCATAGGGGAGAGGGTTAAAGATTACCCTGAAGAATGTGGCTTCTACTGTACTATTTTAGATGCAATTTTTGTGGAAAATCAAACATATTTTTAGACCCATCTAAAAATTCTCTAATTAGTCCTGGAAGAGGCGTGACTTAATTCTTACATCCAGTGAAAACAGGTAAGATCGGCTATAATCTAACAACCTTAATCTTTGCTATAGTTACTTTTTGCCCAAGAAATGCCTGACTCATCTGCTAGTGTTCGTCTTTTTCTAAATTATTAAGAGTTACATATAAATATTGGAAACAATTTTCAAATGACTCCTTTTTAGTTAACAAAAAAAGCAGCAGTATAAGCAAAATCATATTTACTGTAGTATATTTCAAATATTTTTGAAGCAGTCTGTGGTTTAAGCTTCAGTTTGAATTTTTATGAAGTTCAAGAGAATTCATGCATCAACACACCAACCGCTGCTGTAAATCATCGGGCTAAAATTTATAATAAATAATTATAAATAATAAATGAATTTGGCACTACAGGGAGGCATTAGGCGGCTTCTCATATTAAAATTAATAATTATAATATTTAATTAAATAATTTAGATTAAACTGGAAGAAAAGAATCGGCCCAAAGCGGGACTTTTGCTTACCGTGTGAATGCATTACCAGTTATGCTACCTGGACCTTTGGTCCGATCTCCTCTTCCAGTATATTTAACGTTAAGCTATAGCCATCGTCGGCCCTCTAATGCCAAATTCATTTATTATTTATTTATTCCAAATTATAGCCCAATGATTTATGGCAGTAGTTGGTGTGTTTGTTGCATTGCATCGAGTTAATAGGGTTGTTTATTTGAATTCATACATATATAAATAACAGTAAAATTTAAAACATTTTATAATTATTAATTAGAGATTCAGACTATGTACAAAAAATTATTTAATTTTTGAGTCTATCAATTCATCCTTTTTCACACACCACAGAAGTAGCCTTTTACATCGGTTTGAAGAAATCACTTCATAAAAAACGTATAACAATAGGTAAAAATTTACAATTAAAAACGATCAGACGTCAGCCTTTCATTTTAGGTATCTGACGCCTTTACATTAAAATTAAGTAAATCTTCTCACCAACTGCCAAGTTTTATACCTTCAGTATCAGGTTCAAGCCCTCTAGTGGTGGATACGAGCTATCTTTGATTTGCATGTAGTTACAATTTCATGATGAGCTCAGGATATTTTTCTTCTAATTATTAATTAGAGATTCAGACTATGTACAAAANTTTTGTACATAGTCTGAATCTCTAATTAATAATTAGAAGAAAAATATCCTGAGCTCATCATGAAATTGTAACTACATGCAAATCAAAGATAGCTCGTATCCACCACTAGAGGGCTTGAACCTGATACTGAAGGTATAAAACTTGGCAGTTGGTGAGAAGATTTACTTAATTTTAATGTAAAGGCGTCAGATACCTAAAATGAAAGGCTGACGTCTGATCGTTTTTAATTGTAAATTTTTACCTATTGTTATACGTTTTTTATGAAGTGATTTCTTCAAACCGATGTAAAAGGCTACTTCTGTGGTGTGTGAAAAAGGATGAATTGATAGACTCAAAAATTAAATAATTTTTTGTACATAGTCTGAATCTCTAATTAATAATTAGAAGAAAAATATCCTGAGCTCATCATGAAATTGTTAAAACATTTTTATATTAAACAATTATAAGAGGGGAACTGCTTTCGATGTTATAATATGAATTATTTTTTAAAAAGTTTTCGACAGACAATAAGTGTAAACTTAGAAATTTTAGAAAAACTTTTCCATGGACAAACTTTAAAAGTATTCTTCTTCTTTGTCCCTTCATACACCACCAGGAAAGATTGTAATGTTTTGCATGTTAAGATGGATGAAAAATCTACAAATAAAGGTTGACTCCGCCATGAAACTGTTATTTCCCAATAGCGTACGAAGGGAAAAAGAACACTTTTAAAGTTCGTCCATAGGAAAATATTTGTAAAATTTCTAGTTTATAAATTATTTTAGTTTTATTTTCTGACAAGACTATGTCTCATTNTTTCTCAATTATCAGTCTTTTGTTTGTCCCAGGATTCTGGGATATAATTAATTATTTTTAAGATATAAAATAAAGCTTAAAATTGAATGATATAATTATTTTTCATTTTTAAGTAACTTAATAATAATAATGCTGTGTAAAATATGTATAAAAAATAACTTTTGAGTTATGTAGAAATTTTAACAAATAGAAAAAGTTTATTAAAGTTTGTTGGAAAATGCTTACAACAAAAATGCCTTTGAATTGAGTTGAAAATTAAAAAAAATAAACTTAGACCAAACTTCTACGTTAGATGGTAATTTTCATTATTTATATAAAACACAATACAAAATATTATTGTAAATTTTTATAAGATTTTAAAAAGCAAAAATGGTCAATACTCTGATCACTCAATTTGATTCTTATTTTACTAAAGAAAAGTCCTGCTACCGAGAATGCCCTTTTTGATTTAACTGATATGGGTGTATCATCTTTAATGCATTTAAGAGAAGACAGATGTTATGTGTTTTTTCACCTGTAGACTGGAAGATTTCTAGTTCATTTTCGAGACGTGTTACAGTACTTCTTTTGCTGTCTAGTATTCTTGATTTATCTACCTCGGCTGCTTTAATTAATAGTGGCATCAAGCTTACGCCCTGATTATTAAAGCCAAACACACTGCCGAATTATCAGGTTTATGAAGAAAAACTTCATACTTGCATACATCATATTCGTTTGTATCCTTGCCCAATTTTCACAACCTGGCATAATGCAGTTATTGAAGCTACCAGGCATGGGAACCTAAAATTTATATGGAAATATTTCATTTTTATGACACATATAGCATACTGTTAAAGTTTGGCAAGACCTTTCAAAAACACTGTATACATAAACCTGTGTTATAGTAGATGACAGTGTTAGTCACAATGTATAACAGATATGGTCAACCAGTTGGCTGCAGCATTATTTCTGTTTAAACAAAGATCATATGGTAATCAATAGGATGACTAACACGCCAAATTAATATATAATAACAAAAACAAAGACACTGAGTTCAACGTTACATACGTTTTTTTATCGCAAGCATTTTCAACGAACTTATAGTCGTCGTCCTCAGGCGAATACAGAAATTTACCAAAAAAGTTTAAACAAAAATAATCGAATGCAGAATAGAACGCATAAGATAATTTGAAATTATGTTAAAGCCGTTAAGAACACAAAGTAAATATTTAAACATAATTCAAAAACTGAACGAGCAGATAGCTCCGTGAAGTGCAAGTTGGCGCATGCGCAGAGCCATGCTCACGCTACATGCCTACTAGAGACTGCTAATACTCGCTTAAACGCTTATACAGCATGACCCATACACTAGGCAGCTGAAGCATAGGGGTGTTGCAAGTGTCCAAGGTGGTAGTGAGGAGAGATTCCCATATAAAAACAGTTTTTCGATCCTTGCAGCTCTTGAGCATAACCGCTTGGGACCATAGCGGGTTGTAACCCTGCTCAAGTACCTTTCTTGCGAGCTCGGTGGTGTGTCTTCCCCTCCTAACATCGTCTTGGTGCTCATCAAGGCGGCTGGAAAGCATTCTAGTGGTGGCCCCGATATATCTTGTGTGTACTCCCGTTGCCTGATTTTCCAAAGGTACAGAATAGACCCCCAATTTCTCAAGAGTGGAAAATTTGTCTCTATCATTACAAATAAGTTTGCGTAGGCTTGGAAGTGGGGTTAAAGGTAGTACAAGATTGCGCTGCTTAAAGATTCTGCAGATGCGTAAAGATAGGGGTCCAAGGTAAGGCAATGCTATTTGTACCTTTCAAGACTCTTTTGCTGCATAAAGTAGTACTTGGAAATAGTACTTTCTTTACCTTATTGAGCACATGCGTAAATTTTGCACGTGAAAAGCCAGCAGCGCATACCGCCAAATTGATGATATCTAACTCAACGTTTAACAGCTCCTGCATAGACGACAGTAAATAAACATTCGTTGAAAGTGCTTGCGATAAAAAAACACATGTAACGCTGAACTCAGTGTCTTTGTTTTTGTTATTAAATATGGTCTGTTAAAATAAAAAAGAAACCTTTGTAATTCCTGTAAGAATACAAATATGATATTTTCTATTGAGAAATATTTTAACTATTGTTATGAGTTTGTAGTGCTGTACTACATGAGACAATGTGTGATAAACTTTCTCATTCCAGCACAGTAAAAAAAGATCATTTACTAATACTGAATAAGAAACAAGAAAGGACAGCATGCTATTTTTGTCAATAGTTGTAGCTATGTTATATCAATTATTAAAAATTGTTTTGTTGTGTCCTGAACAATTTCAGTTACAGGTAACCCTTGTATAATACAGGAGTTACATTCCAAAAAATTACCATGTTATGCGAATCCGTGTTATACGAAACAAAGAACTAGTGCAAAAAGGGGGGGGTTATGTTCCAAAACTTAAAAAATGTACTGTTAAATCCTTATTTAAATCGGATTTATTATTCATTTTTTCATAGGTAAAATACTTATTTATTATTTAAGTAAATATTTACCAGAGAATTATTCATCCTATATGATGATCTCAGCGTAAGCATCATTNAATGTATTGTTAAATCCTTATTTAAATCGGATTTATTATTCATTTTTTCATAGGTAAAATACTTATTTATTATTTAAGTAAATATTTACCAGAGAATTATTCATCCTATATGATGATCTCAGCGTAAGCATCATTAACTGGTAACAGTTTTTGGGTGTGTTCGTTATTAGCGGTCGCTCCGTAACGGGAGTGCGCTGCCGTTTGTAGGCATTTAGGAACGATGGTGAAAGAAAGATGACGGCGCCCGCACTATCGATAGTATTGTGATGGAGGAATCTATAATTCTAAAATGAGCTTTTAGAGGCATAAGTAGGGTCCCAATTGTAAAATTTAACCATTAAATGGATTATTGTTGAAAGAGCATTCAAAGTAGCCACGAAAACAATTAGAATGCTCACGCAGAGTTACGCAGAAGTATAAAAGAATGCACCCTTTATTACATTTCATGTTGTACGAGGGTTTTACCCAATTCCCGAACCATGTTAGAGTGAACCCGTGCCATAAAACCACCATGTTATACAGGGGATGTTCCCAATTCTCGAACAGTGTTAGAGTGAATCCGTGCTATAGAAGTGCCGTGTTATACGGGGAGTTACCTGAATATGCAAAATGTGTGCGCCAAAAAGAAGCAAAACTTTATTTGCACAATGAATAGATATAAAATTCTTTTTTTGTTATGATGAAAGATAAATACCATTGTTTATTAATTTATAATGCCATGATGTCTTTACCAAAAAAGAGAACTTGGAATGTCAATTACTATGTAATAAATAACTATGTTTTAAAACATAATTTTATAAAAGTAGATTAATAAACTTTAACAATATGAACAATGTGGTGTTATATCATTGGTACTTTTAACTCATGAAAGTAGATCATATCCTACTATAAGCTGGTGCATATAATCTAATATAGATAAATAGATATCAAGAAATAAAAAAAAATATATATATATATATATATCAGAATGTTCTCTCTTGAAAATGAAGAAACCTTTAAAAAGAAATTCAAGTTTGGCTAATAGCCCATTTAGATTTAGAAGTGTAATAAATCTATTTTGAGTACATATTTATCAAAACAGTTGAGGAGAAGCAACAAAGCCTGGGATGCATTTATCAATCATTTTGACTAATTAAAAGTTCTATTTTTAAGTGTTCTAGTTATTAATTTTGTTATTTATCTATTAACACAAACCTTAAAATGAATCTAAATGGTCAAAACTTTAATGAATGAATGATATATTTTATTAAAAATTGTATTTTTATAAAATTAACCATGTATACATTTAGTATTCTTTTCAAATTGAGAAATGATATAAAATTTAAAAACTAATTGTAAGTGTAACAATATAAGTTACTTTTATTAATTTGCATGTGTATAAATATGCAAATTAATGGTAGCTTTTACTATTAAAAAGTTTGTAATTTATTTAAAACCACAAAGCCTTTACAAATTACTTTACATTTGATAGGACTACAAAAAGTGCAATGTAAACAACTATAGCATAAATTACACAAAACATCTTATGGATATGATTTATATCAGCTTACAACACAAATCATAAAATTATTTCTTTCTTATTTTAATGGAGTATTATAATAAAATTTTTCAAAAATATTATCCTTAAAGCTGACAATAGCTTTCCCTTTAGTTTGTAAAATGGTATATATGCCTGCTCATCATTAACTTATTAACAATATAAGAACTGTTATAACCAGGGCTGTGGAGTCAGAGTCTAGAGGAATTTCTGGCCAGAGGAGTCAAGAGTCAGAAAAAATGTGTTGACTCCAACTCCAGCGTTTTAAATTTACTTTTTTTATTTAAACGAAAGAAAATTTATTATATATTTATTAATTTTTAAAAATCTTTTTATATATCTTGTAATATTTCATTTATTTTAAATAAAAAATACATCAATTTAATTTATTAAATATGTAGTGTTCTTAGTAGTATTTGTGTTTAGTAGTAAAATTATTTTGACCCAACTGAATTTAAATATTTTGGATCATTCCTTTATTATCCCCGCTCTAAATAAGTACTCTATTTTTCTGAATGAGCCAAACTAATTGATCAGAGTTCATATTTTTCTTTTCTGAACAAGGGGCTGAAGTAGCTAGATCGCACACTTTTTAATTGAACTAACTATTCTAGAAGGGTAATATACAAATAAATATTAAAAATACTAACTACAAGGGTGGTTTTTTTCAAGCTCCGATGGTCAATAAAACAAAGACAAATGTAAATAACAAAATGAATTTATTACCAAAAGTTAGGTACAAACATTGTTATTTTTTTATATAAATCACCGTGAAGATTGAGGCATTTGTCATATCTGTGGACGAGCTTTTTCCATCCCCTTGTCATAGAATGTTGCCTCCAGTGAAATGAGATGGCCTTAACAACATTGTTTTGAAGATAATCATTAATTCATTAGTCTCAAACCACTGTCCCGCTAGCCACGTTTTCAGTTCCGGAAAGATTTGGAAGTCTTCAACACCTTTAAACACCCAGCGTATAGCCCAGATTTAGTGCCGAGCGACTTCCACCTCTTTCCCGAACAGGAAAAGCGGCTAGGAGGGCAGAGGTTCGAGACTAACGACGATCTTCAAAACGTCAGGGACCATCTCGAGTCATCGGCGGCAACATTATACGACAAGGGAACAGAAAAGCTCGTCCACAGATATAACAAATTCCTCAATCTTCACGGCGATTATGTCATAAAGTAACCACGTCCGTACCTGACTTTTGGTGATAAATTCATTTTGTTATTTACACTCGTCTTTGTTTTACAAACCATCGGAGCTCAAAAAACATCCTACGTATAAAAATATTTGGGTAAAGCCAGAGCTCCTTTTAGAGTTCAGAATGGGATATCCCTACGAGCGCCTCCACCCCCATAAAACGACTCGGTATTTAATTTTGCCGGAGTCGAAGTCGAGCGTTTTTTTTTTACCGACTCCGCAGTCCCGGTTATAACAATACAAAAATAAATACATAAAAAAAAAAATCAACCATTCAATTCACAAAGCGTACGCTTTTATACCAATTTCACATCCGTTTTTAAATTTACTCGTACGTAAAACCGAAGCGACGGCACTAACCCTCACACTTTCCGAACAAGACGAAGACGGCAACGACCGGGTCGGGTCTATTGGGTCACGGCGAGACTCCCGCCGAAGGGAACGCCTCCCGGGAGCTCCGGCGGAAAACCGGCCCCCGCCGGTGCGCCACCAACAAAGAAAACCCGGAAAACCGTAGACGGCCGGACGGGACCCGCCACCGAACACCGGCGCCCGGAAGTCTTTATCCGCCGCGGACGCCAACGACCGGGACGATTCGAACGGTCCATTACATTTACATTTCTTAACGTCTTAATCATTTTAACTTTAGCATTCGTACCGTACACTACATCGTTTACTTTCACATTCCATTCCCTTTATAGAGGCATTCATTATTATTATTTTAAGACATCCTCGTATAATCAGCGAAAGTAATAAAAATCAGTGTTTATACTTGTCAGCAGTCAAAACATTTTTAAAATTTATGATTATTTAAACACACATATTAGGAATGTGTCAAGAGGAATAACTGTCACGTATTACTATTTTTCACTTAGTTTCTTTGTGTAATTTTCAAAGCTTTAAAACATTAAATTCCAATTGTTAGTACTTTATATATAATGCAAGGAACGATTTATATAACTTACCGTTGCCATGAGAAAATATCAGCTATACAAAGAGTTTTATTTGCTGCTTTGCCAGCGACGAATGTATATTTATATAAAAACTTCTATCTCGTGCGATAATACTCGAGCATAATACACATTTTACACAAATCAAAAAAAATACTATAATTGATCGTCGTCCGCCACTTTCATTTCTCCCAGCGACCTCTACAGGAACAACTTCGTATCGTTATATTTCTTATCTTTTAAATTTTTAAAATGATAAATGAATAATTAAATATTTTATATAATTAAAATATACCTAAGTATTTAAATTACCTTAAATTACCCAGCAATATATCTTTTTTTATTTTTATTTCCGTCTATTTTAAAAGCTGGTATTCGAATCGCTAATAATTATGTAAAAAGACAGATTATTTACGTTATACTGTATTTTGTACTTTTATTAAATTTCGATAATACTATAGAGTATTTTAATGTTCTTTTTTATTATTCGATGGCTCAATTAATTAAACAATTTCAAAAAAATTAATTTTTATAAAATTGTCTCGCGTATAAATTTTGTAGCCAGAAAACTGTTTACGTAGAAATAAATGACGTACCGAATATCCAATTTTAGAAAGAAACCAATACTTTCCCGCATAAAAGATTGTAAGTGTTTATATGTACGCGTGCCAGAAATATGTGCGATTAATCTTTAAAAATTGAAGCCTATCCAAATCGTCGGGATTTGAAAAGTGCGCGCGTTTAATGCGTTTAAAGAATGATACCTGGAATAATTTTGTAATTGTAATAAAATACCACGTAAAAACGATTAAATATGAAGTTAATTTATTGTTTTTAATACATATCGTAATAATAGAAAATATCATTCAAAACTTACTCCTTTAGCGGCTGATGGCCGGATGGCCGAGCGTTAAGACGGCATCCTACCGTTCTGGAAGAAACGGAATCGAATTCCCGGCCGTCCATTTTGGGTCTGGCCGAACCCGTAATGGGCTTGCTGAAAGAAGTCCTCTTAGTGCCCGCGGGGCGGAAAGTGTTTAAGCTCGGATTTGGGAGATGGAAATCGTGCCCTATATACGCGAGCGCTCAGACATTCGTACATACAGAAGAAATTTCCAAGTATTTCTTTTTGCATTTCTCGACGTTTCGAGGTTGCCGATTCCAAAAATGTAAAAATCTCGGAGGGTGGTCGCGCCTTCTCATTGTTATACTCGGGTATAGTGGCCGGGATAGTAAAATGGACTCGGAGTGCATTTTTGCACTCGCATCTCGTCTTCGGCCAACCGTACGTATCATTCCTCGACTGTTTCGTCGGCTAAGAAGGACACAAAATCGCGAAAGGAACCCGAGTGCATATTGTACTGTACAGAAAGATCTAATAATCTATGTAAAACTACTCGATTTCGTTTACACCGATACTTTTAGCAAATAATTAAAAACGTGTGTCATATTGCACGTATATGTACTGTACTTCAAAACACTAATCACCAATAAGAATAGAACTTGCGTTAATATTCATCGATAATACGACGCGAAATAAAAAATATTATACTTTAAAATAACAGAAGTACCGCATTTTAAATCTCTCATTTCGAAAATACGTGCCGAGCCAATTCTATTTTTATTTTTTAATCAGCGGATAAGTCAGGCGTTGCCGGGCTATAAATTGTTTCGAGGATTTTTGTCAGGATCTAAAATTGTTTACAGGCATATATACCGTATATATGACGAAATTATAGGAACTGCTAACAATTTTTATGTATACTCTCCTTTTCGAAAAACACGCCATTTAAAAAATTGTCGATGTCGTCCGTCCGTTTGTCTGACTGTCTGTCGGTTCTTTTCTACTTTCGAGAACGGTGTTAGGTAGATGAAAGCTTTTACAAAAGCGTCACATGGTTTTCGAAGAAATGCACAGAATGAAGTAGTGTTTTTGTTTATATCGAAAAAAACTTTAAAACTAAATTAGTTACATTTCTGATCACCAGATGGCTCCCGAGTCGATTGCTTGGTTTGTATAACCAAGGCCACTTGATCGCTTCGCTAGTAAGGCCGTCCGCCAACTATCTCTCTCTATGAGACCGAGCGTATAGACGCTAGTTAATATTTTCTCCGCTTGTGGCGCTGACGATCGGTGACATCCATCGTCAGCGATTCAGGTGGAGAGTATAGAGGAGTTTGGAGACGTCGCTGCATTTAAATATTTTTCTCATTAAAGCAGGTTGAAAACTTTTGACAATCAAGAAATGAGCTGCTGCAAACGATGTTCCCTAGTTTGTGAAAAAAGCGAAATAATAATACAGTATTTTTCACTTTATTTTCATACTAGCAGACCCCGCCACGCCTTGTTGTGGCTCAAAATGTATCTATTATAAATGTATAACACTTCCCCCCTGGGAGAAAATTTTTCGAAAAATTTCTTCTTAGTGTACATTCTCTTGACGTACC